GAATGGGAAGCTTTGGCGAGGCTGCGATGGGTGCACGATTAGTGGGCCAAATTACAATTTGGGCCTGTTTAAATGAAAACATGTTTTTACTTTCGTGCTCAACAGACCGACTGCATTGGCGCCTTCTAAATTTACCCCTAAAAAATTGCTCTATATGCAGCAAATTTGAAATGGAATCCCTATTTTCTCGATTCACAATTATATGATGTGTAGATTGTGATGAGTGATGAGTGTAGATGTATACCTGTCATTGTCATACAAATTCATTAACACAACAAAAAGTGGTGAAATAAGTCACCCTATTAAAGTCAATCTCGTATAATGATAGTTGGATCCAATCATGCTAGATTATGAAGAGGTTTAAAATGTAGCGGTTATCCCGACTAAAACGTTAAAAGAACCAGTCTCATATAGTTTGCACAAAGATATGATTTCTTCATAGTAATTTTGAAAAATAATACTAATTTAAGAAGTCCACATTGCTTCTACATGTTTAATATTGCAATTCGATATGCAATATTTGAACCAGTGATATTTGGGCTGCAATTTTAGGGTTATCATATATTTATAAGATAGGTAGAAATTTGAATTAAATATTAATTACAACTAAAATAATCAAAATATGAAAAATTGAAGTATTAAAACACCAAATAAGTACGATAAGATTCAGTGGCCAACTAATCGTTAAAAAATTCATATGATTTTCATAATTTAGGTTTGTCTATGTTTTAATATAAAAAGATACAACAAATATACTTAGTATGATTGGTTATGGTTCTTGCTTTTCTTTAAAGAGACCATGTTTCGAATCTCAGTGTGTGCTTTTTTACGAATAAATAAAAAGTAATTGTGAAGACGAAAATGTCCTGCCTTTTTTATGAATAAATAAATAAATAAAATTTAATTGTGAAGACCAAAATGTCCTTCCTACAATCACTCTCGTTGCAGAAAATTTGAAATGGAGCAGTAGTTTTCCTCATTCTACTATTATATTATGTGTAGAGTTGGGAAAAAGTTAATCTGCTAACTTGAAGATTCGTTAGCAGATACTAACTGATATCCAAAATGCACGAACTAGTATCCAAACTTATTGCTTTTATAAAGTAGTACTAAAGTATCTAGGGAGCACAGACTAGTATTCAATGTTTGCTAACTGATATCCACCGTGAATCAACTATTATCCCAAATTCACAAACTAATATCTAGACAACACAGAATAGTATCCATACATCACATAATTAGTATCGAGATAACACATAAGAGTATCCATATTGAATACTAGTTGGTTTGACTGTGGATATTAGTTGATAATTGATTGGCTGAATACTAATTATGTGAGTTGGATACTAGTTTTGTGATGTTTTGAATACTAGTCTGTGTTATCTAGATACTTTAGTACTATTTTATAAAATCAGCATACTTGTATACTAGTTCATACATTTTGGATATTAGTTAGTATATACTAACAACTTATATAGTTAGCAGAATAACTCTATTGAGTTGAGAGGGTTTGCGTATATGTGCTTGAATATCATTAAGTTCCACATTTCACATACTCATTCTTATGGAAAACAACTCTGTCTAAAAAACTCATTTTTATTTATGCAACAAACACATTTTGTTCTTGTGGGTTTTGCATGTAATATCCTTATTTGATGTCTTTAGGAGTATCCAACAAATATGTGTTTGTCATGTAGATGTCACACCCCCAATCTTGGTAAAATACTAGCAGTGATGCTTCCCCTCAATTTACGGGAAATTCTATGCAGCCGCCTACTTACTATTAGAGATAAATAAATTTTATCTTTTATTTTCCCACTACTATTCCGTTGCTATCTTTTTGGGAAGTGTATGTCAATTCTGCTAGTATATGTTCCTTGTTTGTCTCTCACAAGGCTGTATATTAGATCACAGAATCATCAATGAGAATCAAGTTAGTTTTCTCGGCAAATATCAAATCTTGCAATTCCTTTCATGTATCAGAGCTAGCAACGATCAGCTAGATCGATCCAACTCCTTTCTCGTTCCAATTCTCTTCACTCGCCCTCCCTTTTTTTTTTTTTTTTTGCTTGCTGTCATCATGGCGGGTGCCTCCACAACCTCTGATTCACACGACGGGTCCAAAAGTTCAGAGACCCAAATCATCACCTTCAATCCAGCTGCACAACTTCCTCTGAAACTCACTCCGGCGAACTCTGCTTCCTGACGGTCACAGCTAGAGACTCTCCTCATGGGTCTTGATTTAATCGAATTCATTGATGGAACAAAGGCTGCTCCGCCACAATCAATCACCATTGATGTTGTTCCTGCATCAAATCCAGCCTATCACCATTGGTTCAGGCAAGACAAACTTATACTTCATGCTTTGCGGTGTTCCATTGAAGAATTGATTTATTCCTTTTTTTTTACCGCCGCCACCGCCCATGATGCCTGTCTCGTTCTGGAGAAACTCTATGCTAGCAACGCGCAATCGTGCGTCAACCATCTGAAAGGGAAAATTGGAAAAATTGTCAAAGGAGATCGTGACGTTCTTACCTTTGTCAACGATCTCAAGGCCACAGCAACTAAACTTGCACTCAGTGGCGAGCCCGTCAAAGACATCGATCTTGTTGTGCATTGCCTTCGCGGTCTGGTGAGCAATACAAGTCCTTTTCCGCAGCCATTCGTGCCAGAGGGCCCGGTCTTACCCTTGAAGATCTCGTTGACTCGTTGGTCGAGTTTGAAGCTAATTTAAAAGCACATGTGCCCTCCTCTATTCCAACTGCATTTTTCACCCAGGGGCAGAGACATGGCGACCCATCTTATCCTCGTCCTCAGCGCACCCCTCCGCCGCCGCCGCAACCCTATTCTGATGTCTCCCTTCCCCGCGGACTCAACAGTCCTCACCAGCGGGCTTCCGGCCAATATCCTCATTCTTCCTCATATGCTGATCCGTCCAGCCTCCCTCCATGCCGGGCCCGAACCATCTGTCAGTATTGTCAAAAGCATTGGCACTCAGTGCGCCAGTGCTTCAATTATTCCCACAGGCTCGGCCGGCCCATCTTCAGACCAGACAGGCCCAGGTCCATTATACCAATGCAGGGCCGCCTCTGTTACCCTCCTCTAGCAACCAGCCTACTCCCTCCAATTCCTGGTTGATGGATTCTGCTGCATCCCATCATGTAACGGCTTATCTTGGCAATTTATCCTTATATTTTGACTATACCGGCCCTGACGAAATCATCATTGGCAATGGCTCAGGTTTACAGATTCACCATATTGGCTCTTCTCATCTTTCTGCCGGTTCTGCTTCTCTTTCTTTGCAAGATGTGCTACATGTTCCATCCATCAAAAAACACCTTATTTTTGTAGCCCATTTATGCTGTACTAACCCAGTGTCCGTAGAATTTTTTGTCACTCATTTTGTTGTGAAGAATCTTCGCACGGGGGCGCAACTGTTGAAAGGGGAAAACCGAGGTGATGTGTATGAGTTGCCGCCGGAGGCTGAACCAGTTCGTATGGCTCTTGTCACCACTCGTACTTCTGCAGATTCGTGGACTCTCGTCTTGGTCATCCTTCTCAGCAATCCCTTTGCAACTTGCTTCATTCTCAATCACTTCCAGTTTCCTCGTCATCCTCGCTTGCTCATTGTGATGCTTGTCTTTCGAATAAATCTCATAAACTTCCATTTGGTGTTTCTTCTCTTTCGAGCACTCGCCCTTTTGATCTGCTTTATACTGACGTTTGGGGCCCGCCTCTCTTTCATCCATTGATAATTTCCATTATTATCTTATTATTGTCGATCATTACAGTCGTTACACGTGGTATTATCTCCTTCGTCGCAAATCTGATGTTCTTCAAGTCTTTCTTGATTTTCGCACCATGGTTGAAAATTATTTTTCTACCACCATTCGTCAGATTTATACCGATGGTGGTGGTGAGTTTCAGAAGTTATGTTCCTCATTGGGTGCTCATGGCATTAGTCATTTACTCACTCCACCTCACACCCCTGAGCATAATGGCTTAGCCGAACGTAAGCATCGCCATATTGTTGAAACTGGTATCACTCTCCTCCAGCATGCTAAACTTTCCTCTATCTTTTGGTCATTTGCTTTCTCGACTGCGGTGTATCTTATTAATCGCCTGCCTTCCTCAGCTCTTCGTGGTCAAATTCCATACACTTTACTCTTTAACCAAGCTCCTAATTATCATAAACTTCGCATTTTTGGCTGCTTGTGTTATCCTTGGCTTCGTCCATACTCCACCAATAAGCTTGAACCTCGGTCCCGCCCTTGTCTCTTATTGGGCTATTGCCCACAACGGAGTGCCTATCGTTGTTTTGATCCACTCACTAATCGTCTTTTTTTGTCCAGGCATGTCCATTTTGTTGAGAATCATTTCCCTGGCTTCACTTCTCCTGTTTCTAGTCCCCCTCCATCGCCTGCTGCTTGGCTCTTGGACTCTAGTCCCACTATTACTAATCTGCAAGTACCTCGGCCCAACTCACCACACGCCAGCCCACTCACCTCTGGGCCCAGCACCTCTCCTTCAGCTGCTCCCCCTAGCGACGGGTCCTCCTCAACTTCTTTTGGCTCCTACCCGGATTCTAGGCCGCCCTCTGAGCCCGCAACGCCATCACCTAGGCTAGGGGTGGGCTGTAGGCATACGGTTTGGTTTTACCGAACCGAACCGAACACAAACCGATCGAAACCGAAATAATCCTTATTAGATTTGGAATTCGGATGGAGATATACCATATTTCGGGAGCCAGGTTCATTTTGACCGAACCGAAAAACTGAAGTTCCGACCGAATTTCTGAAATTAAAGTGGCCCAATCCTTTTTCTGTTCAGGCTTCAGGCCACTTCCTACTCCCTACCCATTACCCAACTAAAACTAAAGCCCAATACCTACCTCCTTGACCCAACTTAGCAACTCCCTCTCATTCTCTCAAGCCCAACTCCATTCTATGCTCTCCTCCTCTATAGTCCAAGTCCATAGTCCAAATTCCAATTGTCTGTCACTAGAAAACCCCTAGGAAAGGAATGAAGAAGTGTTCGAAGCAGCAGCAAAGAGGCGACACGACGGCGGCGGCGATTGCGACCACGACCAGTCGTCCCCATCGGCAGTCTCGGCGACTCCCTAACGGCCTCTCCCCGACCCCGACAGCCTCTCGAGTCTCGATAGTCTTGACCTCTCCCTCCATCTCTTCCAGTCTACCACTGTCTCTCCCGCCGACAGCCATCACTCTGCGCCTCCCACGCTCCAAAGCTCCCATCGAAGGCCACGGAACATGACCACCAGTCGAAGGCCAAAGAAAAACATCGGCGGCGCTGCTCCACCAACACCAACGTCGACGGCCAAAAATGGACAACATATTCTTTTTCGGTTCTGAATAAAAAACCGAACCGAGCTATAATTCGGTTCGGCCAAACCGAACCGAACTATATCTTGGTTCGAATTCGGTTGAGGGAAATCTGGGTTCGGAACATCGGTATATGCTAGTTCGGTTCGTTCAAATCGAACCGACCGAACGCCCACCCCTAACCTAGGCCCCCTCCTCAGCCCGTGCTGCCGCCACCTCCACAGCGTACTCATTCCATGTTAACTCGGACCCAACATGGGATTTTCAAGCCCAAAAAGTTGTTTCATGTTGCTGCAGGTCGCTCTCCCTTATCTCCCCAGAACTCCGCATCTTCTCCCCTGCCACCGCTCGAGCCGGCCTCTGTTGCCGAAGCTCTTCAGTACCCAGAATGGTCTCATGCGCTCACTACTGAAAATCAAGCCCTTATAGCTAATGACACTTGGGATCTCGTTCCCCGACTTCCCCATTATAATGTGTTGGGAAATCAATGGGTCTACCACGTCAAACGCGAACCTGACGGCTCTATTGCTCGATTCAAAACTCGTCTGGTTGCCAAGGGTTTCCATCAAAGGCCTGGTATCGACTTCACTGACACATTCAGCCTCGTGGTCAAACCGGTCACGGTGCGCACTGTCCTCGCTCTTGTCTTATCGCACAACTGGTCCATTGCTCACTTCGACATCAACAATGCCTTTCTTCAAGGCCCATTGACATACGAGGTATACATGGCTCAGCCCCCCGGCTTTGTGGATCCCGATCTTCCGCATCATGTCTGTCGCCTTAAACGTGCCATTTACGGTCTTCGGCAAGCACCGAGAGCATGGTACACAACGCTCAACGCCTTTCTCCTGGAGTTTGGGTTCACTAAAACTCAATCCGATTCCTCTCTCTTTGTCTACAATCAAGATGTCACTCTTCTCTATTTTTTGGTATATGTGGATGACCTACTGCTTACGGGAGATAATGTTGAACTCATCTCCGCCTTCCAGGCCGCTCTCTCTCAACCGTTTTTTTCCTTGAAATCGTTGGGCGATGTCAGCTACTTTCTTGGGATTGAAGTTCTACCCACTGCGTCTGGCTATCTTCTTTCACAGCATAAGTACATGAAGGATATACTGCAGCGATTTCATATGCTCGACGCTGCCCCTGCTCCAACGCCTATGGCTTCCACTGTCTCTCTTTCCCTCTCTGATGGAAGTGCCCCCACCGATGCCACTCGGTATCTCCAGGTTCTCGGTGCCCTCCAGTACTTGGTTTACACGAGGCCTGACATTGCTTTCTCGGTCAATCGGTTATCTCAATTCATGCACTCCCCTACCGCGCACCATTGGCAGTGCGTCAAGCGCCTATGTTGTCGGCACTCTCACCCATGGGCTTCACATTCGTCGTCAAACGCAGCCCCTTGCACTCTCTGCCTTTGCTTATTTAGACTGGGCTGGCAACTTAGATGACCGATCCTCTACCTCGGCCTACGTTCTCTATCGCGGCTCTACTCTCGTTTCCTGGCGATCTCAGAAGCAGCGCACTGTCCCCCGTTCCAGTACCGAGGCCGAGTATAGAGCCATTGCCCATGCCGCTGCCGAAATAGAATGGCTCCAAAATTTGCTTGCTGAGCTTCATCAACCACTGCGAACGCCTCCCATTTTGTACTCTGGCAACCTTTGCTACCTATTTCTGTTCCAATCCCATCTTTCATTCCCGAATGGAACATTTAGCCCTGGATTACCACTTCGTTCGTCAACTCGTCCAGTCTGGCCGTTTGATTGTCCGCTACATCCCCACTGCCCACCAGCTTGCCAATGTTCTCACCAAACCACTACCAGCTGCTCGTTTCCTGCTTTTGCAGTCCAAGATCGGAGTCATTAACACTGCCTTCGTCTTGCAGGGGCGTATTAGAGATAAATAAATTTGATCTTTTATTTTCCCACTACTATTCCGTTGCTATCTTTGTGGGAAGTGCATGTCAATTCTGTTAGTACGTGTTCCTTGTTTGTCTCTCACAAGGCTGTATATTAGATCACAGAATCATCAATGAGAATCAAGTTAGTTTTCTATGCAAATATCAAATCTTGCAATTCCTTTCACTTACCAGCTACCAGACACTTTGCTTCCAGAGTTACATTACTTTGATTCCTATAATAATCAACCAGCCGACACTTACCACATCTCAATATCGACACTAACCCTTTCCACTCGTTAAGAGCGAAGGAATTACAGCATCCAGCATTGGAAACAGACTTTGGATGACAGCAAAAGGGCACTGAATTTTATTTTACTAGATAGTAGTAACATCTGCTCGACCTATTAACATGTGTAGTACCTGGAAAAAAACACTTCCAGGTTGCAAGCATACGTGACTTAGAACTTAGAAGGATAAGGGTGGCTATAGAAACCGATGGAACCAGCACTTTGTTCATCCAGAAATGAGCATTTCCTGTACAGTTAATGATTCAGGCAAGTGCATCAAATAAGAACTGCCAGTACCCTCTATTCGGAGAAGGTTTCGAAAACTGCTGCAACATCAAGTTCCCATGGCAACTGTGAAAGACAGAAGAATTTAATTCAGAAGCTCATCAGAAGTTCAGAATCCACAGTTTGTGAGCGGGTCAGTAAGAAAATACCACCGTAGACAAATGAAAGGCAAAGTGCTTGCAACCCACTAACCATCTTTGCTTGAACTGTTTTCAATGTCGATTTGCGACTGCCACGGCTCCTTGAATTCGGGCGATTCACATTCCTGCGCCGTGCTGTTCCCTTCTGATGACGAACAATACTGGGGAACTGAAAAGGAGCATCTGCTTGTTGTTGCCTGCTTCTTAGCCGCTGATGATTCAGCAGTCGAGCACAGATCACCATCCGGTCTTGAAGTCCCTGCGACGTTATTACAATCTCGGAACTTATCTGGTCCAGGGGTTCCCTCCTCCATGCATTTGGCCCTCTTCTTCCCGTGTGGATCCTTCTGCTTCATGTTATAAAACGATGGAACCTTCTGATCGTTAGAGGATGCAGTAAGGCAAGGAGCCTTGCCTTTCTCCCTCAAGACAACCTTCGGAATCCCATCCGTAATGCCTGTGTTATCACCAATGACTTCATTTGTCCCATTTGAGCTCGAAGCTCTGGCAGCTGCTTCGTCTTCCCACATCTTGAATATGGCTGAAGTGAGAAGTTCTCTAGCCATGTCCAGATCCACTATAGGCATTGGATAGTTTAGTCCCAGTTCGACCCCAGCAGATTTGAGCACAATATCAGGTGCATCCCATGGGTGATGAATCCACTCGGTTGGCATTCTAGCTAATTCAGGCAGCCAGTGTCTCACATATTCTCCTTCTGGGTCAAATTTGGAACCTTGTATCTGTTTCATAATAAAGCATAACAAAGTTCAGTTAGATTTATCTCTCTTTCCAATCAAGAATCTAGAAAATGATTTCTGGTTGTGTTTAGAATGAGATGGAAATGAATTCTAACAGATAATTTCCTAATACCGCTCTATTGGTCTATTTATGAGTATAAACGCATGACAAAAGTGAGTTTTCTGGTAAAGATTGACAGGTAGTGTCACCAGTTTCAATTGCCACACCAATCCCATCAATTTGGATGGGATCTCAAATTCCTAAATACTAAAACGTTTAGACCTCTTAGAGTTCATATCTATCATGGCAAACAAGAGAATCTTCTAAAGTTTGAGAAACGGAATTCTATTTCCCAAGTTTTTGTTTATTCCAAGTAGGCTGTTGGAAAATAACCTAGAATAGCAATCACAATTGTCCACAGGATTTGTGAAGAGAAAGAACACACAAACCGTGATTTGAAACTGAAGGTAATGTTAGCTATGGGCAAGTACCACCAAAGTCGTCACCTTAGCATTGGTTAATCACACAAATTCAAAGAGCCAAATAAGAAGTTTGAATCAAATACTTGAACACATGTCAGAGGGAACTTTCATACCTCTGGACTGTCTAATCGTTCCAGTTCATGGCCATCTGGTAGGCTTCCTGATATATACTGCCAACCAAGGATGTCACATTCAAGATCTGCATCCAAAAGCGTGTCCCAGAAATACTTCATTCCCCATCTCCATGGCAAGAGCAGAACTTTGACAGAGAAGCTCGACACAATTACTCTTATTCTGTTATGCATCCAACCAGTTGCCCATAGCTCCCTCATCCCGGCATCAACGAGAGGGTAACCGGTTCTTCCTTGTCTCCAAGACTTGAAATGGGCTTGGTTGGCATTCCAAGGGAAGTACTTCAAGTGCCCTAGCAACGATCTCTCGTGGGTGAATGGAAAATTGAAACAAAGATAACGCGAGTATTCCCTTAGCCCAATCGACCTAAGAAACCAGTTCACACTGTCTTTCCCTTTTTTGTTTTCTTCTTTCTCCCACACTAGCTGCTTCATTCGAACACATTGGAAAACCTTCCTAACGCTCAGCTCCCCAAAATGGAGATAAGGGGACAAGAGAGAAGTGGAATCCACTCCAACCTTAAGCCTGTTCTCCGAATAGTTAATCAAATGTCGTTCAACGAATTCTGTTAGGGATTTGTCAGCATTACCCCAACCTGGAGACCATGCTCTTCCTAACAAAGAGTTGCTTGCTTTTTCCAATTCATCTTCCAAACCAAGTTCATCCACTGAACACTTTTCAATTGAACCTGCAATATAACAAACAAAAATGAAACCAGGGGAATGAAGAACTAAATCACTTGATCAAAAGTAAACACACTGAACAACAATCTACCTGTAGCAGGCACCAGCTTCCATGGAGGTAGATGTGAGACAGGCTCCATCTGCAGATGCAAGCACTTCTCCCAATATGAATTGAACTTTGTAAAAGCATGTCCTTCATCATCATATATATCCCACGGTTCATATAACAAATCCCCATTATAGCTCTGCACGGAAATTCCAAGTTCCCCCAATTTCTCCTTGATACCGTGATCACGAACCAGAGATACCGGATCTAGGCAAAGAGATGGAGAAGTAATTGATAAAGATTCATCACCAACTACAAGACATGCAAAAGAAAGCAAATGAACCAGGAGCACACACCATAGAGATGATTAAAGACCACTCTGGTCGCTCCAACGGCATTGACACAGTCTCGAAGAGCATCGACAGCACTGTGAGTCTTGATCAGGATAAGTTCAGCACCAAGTGATTTGATCGAGTTTCCCAAGTGGGTAAGAGACTGCTTCAGCCACCACCGGGAAACCCGGCCGGGATAGAACTGCCCTTCTTCTTCAGGGCACCAAATATAAACGGGAAAGACAGGACCATCCCTTGCAGCAGCCGCTAGGGCAGGATTATCCTCTATCCTAAGGTCTCTCCTAAACCAAACTACAGTTCTACTACTACCCATTATTTCCACCTAAAAACCTTGAATCAAGATCGAATTCAATCCTAAACCACCACCATAGCTAAAGTTTCAAAGGACTAAAACTCGATCAAAAAAAAAAACTTCAAAGAATAATCTAGAGCAACACTCTGAACTGAGAAATCAACAGTCTACGCAGTCCAGCTGCAGCTTATAAGTTTCAGCTAGCTAGCTCTAGAACAAAATCCAGAGCTTAGCTACGAAGAAACCCAAAAGCGGTTCAAATGATCATCCAACCCCAAACTCGGCACCAAGCTACCAGAAGACAGATCTGAGACAGGATAATCATAATAATAACAATAAGACAAACATCAAGTTGAAATAAAGAACGTTATCCAGAGAGACAGATAGGAAGAGCGTAACAAAACAACAAAAAAATAAACAGCCATCAACCCAGATAATATCAAATAAAATAAAAGAGGAATTTACCAGAATTCAGAGACAAGGAAAGTGATCCCGCAGCTGAGCCCGTATCTTGATTGAGGTTGATAGCACCAACCCAGTTCGGTTTCGACCTTCCCAGAACATAAAGACTGGAACTTTTTTTTCTTCCCCTTCTTCCTTCTTGAGTTATTTTTGCAACAGCGTTAGGTGACATTTGATCGACGACTTTGGGACGGAGGCTGGCATATGATAAGAGAGTCACATGGGACGGGATATTCGTTGCATTTACTCGTCTTTTGCGCTAGTGGACGGATGTTGGACTAATGGGGATGGGCATCACTTGTACCCATATCTCTCTGTCCATCGTGGCTCCACCGGTTAGAAAAGGAGAGTGTGCGTGAGATTGCAGGACAGATGGTCTTTGGATTTACGTGAACGGAAAAAGGACAGCAGGACCAGATAGGAGTAAGTTTCTGCATTTAGCAGTTTAATAGATGTTGATAACGTTGCCTTGTTGAGTGAAGAATATACATAACCTATGAAAGGAATTTTGGCTTCGGTTTTCCCTTTTAAATACGGATGAAGTACAACCAACCTCCATTAACGTTGTGCTCATTTTTTAGGTAAGAACATGTTAGTGGATTTGATCTCTAGGTTTCAACATTTTGGTCCTCCATAAGACGATAACTAACATTGAAGTACATATCAGTCCATATGCGATACTCTCTTGATGATGTCATTGTTTTTTTGTTATATAGTCTTCGAAAACATGTTTGGGTTGTTTACCGGACAAGTTAGTAGCATGGAATTTTGATGATACAAATGATATTATTGTGTAAATAAAAAAAAATAAAAAAACCATGCCTTCAATAGACTTCATGTCAAAATAATAGCATTCACTATTTCACTACATCATGCTTTACAAGTCTAACTGCATAAGTAAATAAGACCGTCACGATTTTTTTTTTTTTTTGTATTATTTGTGTACAATACATAATTATATATATAGGTAGTTTATGCTGTCATACCTGTATATTTTTATTATTTTTTTGAAGGACAAGAAATTTGATTTCGGAATGAAGGCAATAAGCAAGAAGAAGAACAACTGAATTTATTCCCTTGAATCAAGACTTGGAACTAAGTAATACAAAACTCACACAAGTGTCATGAGCTATACTCTGGCTCACAAAACACCTATCTATCAAACTTCTAGCACAACCTTGCTCTAAGAATAATAGAAGAAACTGACAATTGTTGCCTACGCTCAGCTTCTTGCAATCACAAAAGTGATAAACAAAGACTATTGCTGAGAGCTTAAATAGCTGCATTTCTTCGAGTAATTCCTTCTCCAGATGCTATCTTCTCCACCGAATAAGTGCATGTGCGAGTTCCCAGAATGAGCTGTTGTAGCCATTGAGTTTGAAAGGGAAAACGTCATCGGTTTTGCTGAGTGAAGCAGAAAGACTAAGAAGCGATAAACGCCATCATTTTCGAACAAAAATCTCCCCCTGCGTTCGAGCTTCCTCACTTGTAAGACCGGTTCCTACAAAATTCATAAAAAACAGACGCACAACCAAGAATAGCAAGGCTACAAAATAAGGGGTGAGCAACAGCAGAATAAACTGAGACCTATCAGTTTAATATGAGGCAAAAGGTTTGTTTAAAGAAACGTCCCCCCTCGGAGCAAGCATTCAACAAAGTGTTTGTCTGGAACTAAAACAAATCCACACAAATGTTTTCAAAATTCTTAAAACAAGCAATCATGGGACACTGATTTGATAGACAATTGATTGCACATGTTTCTACCCCTAGTCTTGAGCCGTTTGAGATGTTGATTCTCGTGTTTTAAGCCGATTTCACGCTAGGTTGTGTGTTTATGTCATATTTCAGGGCTTGGCGTTGGCATCGAGGCGAAGAAACGAGTTTCGGGTCAAAAGGAGGACGTTTGAGTTGAAGTGTGCTGGAGGAGCAAAATACCCAGCCATGGGCAAAAATACCCGGCCGGGTATTAACCGGAGCAGACCGGGGAAAACCTCTTTTCGGCGTTTGAGAAGCAGAAGGGGGCCGGGCATTGAGGAAAAATCCCCGGTCGGGTATTCTTGACCTTGACCGGGGATTAATCCCCTGTCCTCGACGGTGCGTTTCAACAATCCCCGGTCTCCACCTAAAATACCCGACCGGGGATCGCGATTGACAGCTTCTTAAGGGGAAAAAAGGGGCAAAAGTTAAGGGTTCCGAGTTTTAGAGGGAAAAAGCGTATACCTAGAGAGAGAAAGTGATGAACCTGATTCTTCAAGTGCCTTAGATCGATCTCCATCACCATTGGAGCCCGGCTTGAGCTTGGAGAAGAGCTGATTGAGTGCCAGAAGCACAATCTCATCCTTCACAGTATGGTTTGCGCATCTGAGCTAGATTTCCCGTCTCTCTCTATGGAGTAACTTTCTTATTCACCTGGGTATGAAGAACCCTAGATTTGTATGTTAGGTATGATTGTATGAACCCAAGTACAGATTCAGTTATATGATTATATTCAATTGAGGTCTGATTTGTTGAATGGCATGAATCCTGATCAAATTTCTGTTGTTTCTACTTTAACCTAGAAAGAGAATATCTGCCTAGGTTGATAGAGCACCCTTGATTGAAGGTAGTGAATTGACGACTTCAGTCAATCTGTTTACTCTGGTGGAGGTTAGTCGCCGGCTGGGGACTCAGATTGAGAGGGTCTAGAGACCTTTAGTCGAGACCGCAGACTGTTTAAGAACCTCCCGCAGTATAACTATCATTGAACTTGAACTTGGTAAATTGCAATATGGCTTAACTGCAGTCTAGGGGGAACCATATCCAGGTGACCTCTCTCAACTTGAAAACAACCTTTAAATGTTTTGCTTGTTTGGACCTTCACTAGACTTTCACTGCTAAATAATAAGAACTCACGGAGTAGTCATCACACTTAGGACCCGGGTTGACATTAAAACCTAAACCCGCTATACTACGCTTTAGGAGGTGGTTACACTTGGCCATATTCTAGAGTGACGGTAGGAGCGAGTCAAGTTTTTGGCACCGTTGCCGTGGACGGCTAGGTTGTTGAAGAAACGTGGTTTCTGTTAATTTAGCTTTTCTTTTTAGCATTGTTTGTTTGCTTTGTCACACTTGTGCCTTCACGGGTTTGTTGCTTGACTGTGTGCAGGTAGTGCATGACCCGTAGCCAGTGAGGAGGTTTACTACAGTTGGATTCGGAGCTTGAACGCACCTGTCGCCAACTTAGGAGACAACAGCTAGCTAGACTGGCTACAGATGAGCGCATAGACGGCCACTTGAGCAGCAATTCCGAGGACGAGTACGAGATGGAAGGTGAACATAACCTGCCCCAGGGGATACCTCTCCAGGTTCCCCCAATAAACCAGATCCTGGGGAAAAACCCAATACCCCAGGCATATAGGGTTCATCATCAACCACCGCCGTCGGGTCCCACCTTGGAGTACTACTACACTCCACGGGTCGCTGATATCCGCCCTGTCATCCTCTATCCGCCCATCCAAGCGAACAACTTCGAGATCAAGCCATGATGGATTCAACTCATTACATCCTCTATCCAGTTTGATGGCTTGAAGGATGAGGAGGCAAGGGTGCATCTTTCCCATTTCCTGCAGCTGACGAACGGGTTCAAGATACACGGTGTACCCGATGATGCGATCCGCCTTCACCTCTTCCCCCATTCTCTGGCGGGGCATACAAAGAGGTGGCTAGAGACCCAGCCCCCATTGTCCATTACTTCTTGGGACGATCTGGCCAACAAGTTCGTGCACAGGTACTATCCGGCATCGAAGACCACAAAGATCCAGCGGGAGATCACTCACTTCCGCCAAGAGCCAGATGAGTCACTTCATGATGCATGGGAGCGGTACTCGGGGTTTTTCTGGCAGTGCCCCGATTATGGGTTCAGTGATGCATTCACCATGGGGAACTTCTATAGTGCTCTCTCTCGGGAAAGCCAGAGGGTGATTGAGTCTCTATGCCTATGAGGGGATATTCTCACTAAGACTCCACCTGAACTGAACCAGATGATCAGTACCTTGACTGCCAGAGATCATTCCTGGGGGCAGAGCACTAGAGGCAGAAATTCCCGGGATCGTGGTGTGCACGCCATAGAGGCCAGGTCCGAGCTTGAGCGGGAGGTGGCTGAGTTGGTGCAGACATTGAAGCAGCCCAATAGTCTTATTCCGGGCAGAGGTTTGGCCGGACCTCCAGTAGCTCAATGTCAGTGGTGTGAGAGCTCGAACCATCTGGTGGAAGACTGCCAGGCTATGCGGGAGTCCTCTACACCCCAGGAGCAGTTGAACTTCGTCGGCAATGCTCGGGGCCTCGATCCTTACAATGGCACCTATAATGAAGGTTGGCGTCAGCATCCCAACTTCTCCTAGAAAAAAATTATCTTTGAGAAAAAAAAGTAAGGCGAACAAACCAAGCTCAAGGAGCTTGTTTGAGGCCATACAAGGCTTTGGAGAGCTTAAAAATATGGTTGGGGAACTGAGGATCTTCAAAACCAGGTGGTTGAGAAACATAAACTTCTTCTTTAAGGTCACCATTCAAGAATGCACTCTTTACATCCATTTGAAATAGCTTTATGTGCAAGAAACTAGCGAAGGCATAGAGCATTCTAATGGATTCGATTCGAGTAGCAGGGGAAAATTATTCTTCAAAGTCTATCCTTCTTCCTAAGTATATCCTTGAGCAACAAGGGGAGCCTTGTTTTATTATTTCACCTACATCATCAGTCTTATTCCGAAAAATCCACTTTGTACCAATAATAGATATATTGTCAGGAAGAGGAACCAGTTCCCACACTTCAAGTCTGAAAAATTGGATGAGTTCTTCTTGCATGGCAGCAATCCATTCATCATCATTGAGAGCCTTTTTATGGATTTGGGAAGAAGTTTGGATACTAAAGCAAACTTACTAGAAGAAGACTTACCTCTGGTGACTAGTCTGTCATGTATATTGCCAATGATAAGCTCAGGAGGATGACGCTTTTGAATATGTATAGGTACATTTAAGACTTCATTGTCAACTGTATCGTCTGAGGGAACTGGAGGAGTGATGTTTGGAGTATCATGTTCTTCCTGGTTGGGTTCTTTGGATGAGTGATAGTATCCTCTTTAATCACAAGCTCGTCAAATCTTAAGAATTCAATGTCACGAGATCCTGCATTATCAGAAGGACTAGAGAAAGCTACATCGTTAAACTTGGCAAAAGTAGATTCCTTTACTCTTTTAGCCCTGAGATTGTACACTCTATAAGCTTGTCCTTTTACAGAATATCCCAGAAAAATTCCTTCATCAGATTTGGAATCAAACTTACCTCGATGATCCTTAACATTCAAAATGTAACATTTACAACCAACAGTCCAACAGGATGAAAATAGCTAATGTTGGGTGACTTTCCTTTGACAAGCTCATATGAAGTTTTTGAGTGAAACTTGCTAACTGTTACCCGGTTTAGAACATGACAAGCAGTATGAACTGCCTCTCCCCAAAGGTGCTTGGGAACATGATATTCAAGAAGCATGGTCCTGGCCATTTCAATAATGGTTTTGTTCTTTCTTTCCACAATACCATTCTGTTGTGGAGTGAATGGAGCAGAGAATGTGTATGAAATACCAACATAATCACATAAAGAACCAAACAGATCAGAAATGAAATCACCTCTATTGTCACTTTTGATCGTTTTTACCTTTCCTTCACAAGTGTTTCTGATGTTTGTGATAAAGGTTTTGAATTGGCAGAAAAACCCAAGTGAATCTGGAAAAATAATCTACAATCACAAGCACATACCTTTTTCCACCAAGGCTTTGAACGTTTGAGGGTCCAAATAAGTCCATGTGGAGTAATTCATATACATGAGATGTAGTCAGGTCAGTCTTGGTTTTAAAACTTCTTTTGCATAGCTTACCTCCAGCACACGCATCGCAAAAGAAACCAGATTTTTCTCGTAACACAGGTAAACCTCTTACCAGGCGTAATTTAGAAAGCTAAACAAGCTTCTTTAAACAAATAAGTCCAAATTTCCTGTGCGAGAACATCTCAATATCCTATGATGACATAAAGCATGATTCATCAGGTAGAGAGAGTTTGTCAAGTTCAATAACATACATGTTGTGCTTGCGTTTACTAGTAAAGATGACTTGATTCATACGTTTAACATAGCAGAAATTTGCATCAGAAGTCACAGTATTTCCTGACTTGCACAATTAGCTAATAGATAAAAGATTATGCTTAAGTCCATTCACAAGATAGACATCATGGATGCACGCATTTGGACTCTTACCAACGGTTCCTAAACCACATATATGACCAATGTTGTTATCACCAAAAACAACTTTACCTCCCTTCTTTCTTTCCAGAACTATGAACAGAGATTCATTTCCAGACATGTGGTGGGAGCAGCCACAGTCAAGATACCACATCTGTGATTTTGTTCGCCTTTCCTGCACATAACTCACTTATGATTGATAGATTTGGGTACCCAAACATGTTTGGGTGCACTTGTTTTACCAAATGAATTTATTTTATCATAGCAGAATCTTTATAAATGCCCTTTTCTGTAGCAGAAGTTGCAGTGATAAATGGTATGATGTTTAGTATTATGATTATGCACTTTGTTCATCATAGATGGAAATGATGTATTCAACCGATTTCGTGCATAGGCAGATGATCGAGGTTTTGAATAAACATTTTTATGACATTTTTTGGTAGACATATGAAGAGATGACTCTGTCATATTGAAAATCCGTTGGTTTAAGGATTCATTTTCCTCCTTTTGTACTGAAATGGTCCTCTTGAGACATGAAATTTCATCATTTTTTCATTGAAGTTCAGCCATAATAAGGCAATTTTTGCTTTTTAATCTATGACACTCGTCTTTTAAATTTGACACTTCTTGTATGCATGAGGCAATATCACAAGAACAAGAGTTTTCAGAATCAAAGACTACCTTATATCCCCCTTTGAATGAGTCGCAGTCAGATTCATCGGATGAATCAGCATTTGCCATGTACGCCTTGACTCCTCGATCATCTTCGTCAGAGCTGTAGTCACTCCAATTCGCGCTTAAGGAATTTTCCTTTTTGTTGAGATGGCCGTTTGACTTCATGTGCCCTGTTTTGCCACATTTGAAACAGACAATAGGTGAATCTTTGAAGGAGGAATCATCAGATCTTTTACCTTGATCACGATAATCATGTTTGTGAGGTCTGAAAGTATTGTTGTTGTCTTGTCTAGAAGAATCCCTTGAAAGGTTTCTGTCTTTCTTTAGCTTGATCATGCGTTGCTGTCTTTTGCTTAACATAGCAATTTCCTTGTCCATATCGTCTTCATCATCTTCAAATACTTCTGAAGAGGATTTGAAGGCAATATTCCTTTTCTTCCTGTTGTCGTCTTTGCTCATCTGGTTTAAGACTTCTTCGTGACTGAGCAAAGAACCCATCAGATTTTCCACAGACAGAACGTTCAGGTCCTTGGCTTCTTCAATTGTTGTTCACTTGGGCATCCATTCTTTTGGAAGAGATCTTAAAATCTTTTGAACTAATTCTTTGCTTGAAAACTTTTTTCCAAGAACTTGCATTTTATTTGTCAGATCTTTAAATCTTTTATCCATATCAGATATGGATTCACCTTGATTCATTTCAAAAGATTCCCATTCGCTGAGAAGAACATCGATGCGAGTTTCTTTAGTTAGTTCCATCAAAAGTGGTTTCAAAGATGTTCCACATGTCACGAGCAGTTTCACACTTAGTGACTCGTCTTCTTTCAGTAGGAGAAACAGCCGAAAGGATGATATGCATAGCTCTGGAATCCAGCTGAGCACTTTTCTTTTGATCAGCAATCCAGGTATCTTCCATATCTGCTTCCATATCAACCGGGCCGGTTCTGACAATGGCCCAAAGATCAGAGTCAATTCCTCTGACAAACAACCTCATACGCTTTTTTCACACAGGATAATCAGACCCATCGAACCAACTCGGATTAGTGCTGTTTGGAAAAGAGAAGTTCCCAGAAGAACTTGCCATTCTGAAAATCGCAGAGATACTTCTTGGCAGTGATTAGCTCAGCAAGAAACCACGCTCTGATACCAATTGAAATTCGATTTCGGAATGAAGGAAATAAGCAAGAAGAAGAACTGAATTTATTCCCTTGAATCAAGACTTGGACTGAGTAATACAAAACTCACACAAGAGTCATGAGCTATACTCTGGCTCACAAAACACCTTCTATCTATCAAACTTCTAGCACAACCTTGCTCTAAGAATAATAGAAGAAACTGACAATTGTACTGCCTAAGCTCAGCTTCTTGCAATCACAAAAGTGAGAAACAAAGACTATTGTCGAGAGTTGAAAAAGCTGCATTTCTTCTAGTAATTCCTTCTCCAGTTGCTATCTTCTCCAGCGAATAAGTGCAGTTGCGAGTTCCCAGAATGAGCTGTTGTAGCCGTTGAGTTTGAAAGGGAAAACGTCGTCGGTTTTGATGAGTGAAGCAGAAAGACTGAGAAGCGATAAACGCCATCGTTTTCGAACAACATGACATACCGTTTTTTTTTTTTTTTTTGGGTAGAATACCTGTATATTTTTGGTTGCTAGTTTAGCAACATAAAACCGGTTGCTACAAACTTTTTAGACGTACAGACCTGGTCAGACAATAAACATTTTTTACTGTCCAACTAGCCAGTAGGGTAAAGTAAAATTATCCATTATCCATATTTTGTTCTTGATAGTCTAGTGTCTGTTATTTTTAGTGTTATCCTTCATAGCTGGCGAGCTTATAGTGAATTGGAAGATAAACTGATAGGAACCAAGTACAAACTACAAAGCTAATACACCCGAGTGAAGAAAGAAGATAGTCCAAATAGGGGCCAAGTTAGAGGAAGGTGGACGGTGGCTTTTGGCGATAACAAAGGTTCGTTTTGTAGGGGGCAAAAGGCACTACCCAAGATATTAGGGGTTGAAATGGTAAAAATAATACATGGAGAACGATAATGATGTGAAGGTACAGATTTCTAAATAGTCCCTTTTATTTAAGAACATAACCGTTTCAATAATTCTACCCTGTCTTTCCCTCCGGAAAGATGACAGCAACCTGCACAGAGCAATTATGGCGATATCTTCTACAAAAGACCAAACAACAAGCCGATTACCATCATTGGCCTATCCAGATTAAACCAAACCAACCTAACCTGACGGCAGGGAGAAGACACGAATAAGGAAATACAATACCTGTTACCACATTACAACCAAACATAAGCTTGATCCTGATATCAGCCTTTTCCAGGCGGTTCAATTATTTTAATACAATCAAGCTGCACTTGCTCTGTGTATACTTTGTCGCAGAACAAATCAGGTATACAAGTAACGATGATCTTGTAGGTGTTTCACACAAGAAAAACACAATGGTGGGTTTTGCTAAGATTACTGATTCGATATGCTGTTGACCGTTGGAGACTGTTCTCAGTTTGCACGCTCTTTTAGCACCTCCAGATCTATCTCAGTCGGGTCGGTGGCCTGGATTTCATAATGGATGCCTTCAAGCTCCCTTCTGAAGCTGTCTTTCGATGTTGCGTATAGCATCTTGGCACGGATGCGAGAAACGGAAGGGGACCTGAAAAGGACATTGTTATAGGAAATTTAAAACATAAGAAGAGGGTATAACATTAGCATTAAAATGAAACGGCACAAGTCAAGGAGCGTGCATGGTCCAGTACTCTGTTACGGTCCAGAATCAGATTGGACCGAGATAAAGCGAAATTGAGGATTAAGGTCAGATGGAAAGTGCATTCAACCGGATTCACTCCACTCCGGTCACAAGTCGGTCCATGTTTTCCTTTGTTTATAATAGTAGGATCCATGGAATAGAAATCAAAGCATAAAATCCCGATCCAATAAATCTACAAAGTTGAATCAGTCCATAGTGAACCATAACATGCACACCTCTATGACCAATCCAAGGCTATTCAGTACATTTCGTCCGTCTGAGGAGTTAAAGAACAGATGAATACCCATTGTTTTGTACCGAATCAGTATAGAGCACTTTGCATTGCAAAGCAATGCAGAGTAGCAGATGAAGTATACCTAAAACAAATCTCCTTGAATAATGATGCGAGAACTTCTAGGAATAGCTTGAAACATTTCAGTGAGATATGACGCGAAGTAGTGCACCAAAACCATCGCATGCCACATTTCAGTAGTGTTAATGTATAAACAGTATCTAAAACTGATATGCAGGAGATGATTCAGAAATAAACCCAAGCATCCACCAAAGTTGAGAAACCATAACCCATAACACAAAACTGGCAACAAGTAACAGGCATAAAGGGGAGCGAGGAAAAAGGCAGGAGTAAGACTGACCAAGCAAAGAAGAAGATCTTGCTCTTCTGGCAATTCTCATCGGTCACGAAATCATAGTCATAGACCGCATATCGGCAGTCATTCTCAGGCAAGGAAGCACTGAAATCATCATAGCTCTCAGCTGGGCCTCCGGTCTTCTCAACCACCACCTGCTTCTTCTTCTCGTCGATCTTGAAGATCACGTAGCGATGAACCTTCTTCCTCTGCAGCTCGAGGAATGTGGTCTTGCTGTGGTCTGCGACGCCCATCCCTGATGTTGCATTCGGCTGACCAAAATGAAAACCTAATTGTTATTCGCCCACACACACACACATGCAATTGCCTCCCAACAAAAACAACAATCGCATCACTGAATCGCACTTCACAGTTTGCAAAGCGAATATGAAAAGCTATTGACGGCACAGCTTCATCATCATCGTGAATCTCACTTCGATTCGATTCGAAAGAGGTCTTCGGGTTGCACAAATTGGGGATTCCAAGCTTGCGAACAAAGAGAAACAAAGCTAAAAATTCCGCACCACAGAACATTCTGTTCATTCTCCTGCTAGTTCCGCCGGGATTCCAACCAAACAGTAAAATGTTAGCAAGAACAAATTGAACCTTTCCTCTTCATTCAATCAGCCAAAACTAAAAGGAAAATGCAAAAACTTAATTCAATCCGAGGGGAGACGTGTCCGCCGGCATACAATTCTTATCGTGTCAACAGTACCAGCACGCCAGTTAGAGCATCGATTGGGAGGGATCCAAGGACGAGAAATTAAATTACTCTATTTCGTAACACAAAAACTCGGAATGGAATCCGATCGCCGGAGCGCAAGAGTAGCAGTAAACGGAGGAAAGCTTACCCCTCTGAAAGCCATGGCTGTGGCGTCACGAACTAGCTGGAGCCTCGAGGAGAGTAGGAGAGGTACGAGATCGGGGAAGCTTTTAAGAGCAGCCGCTGGCGAAGATCGGGAAGAGAGGAGAGAACTAGCAGAAGAAGGAAACTTTTATCGGAACAAAATTTGAATTCTGAGGAAGGGAGTCAAGAAAGGAGAGGAAGAAAGCTTTGATTTGTGGAGAGGGACGGTGGTGTTTGGGTATTCGTATTGCTTTGTGCTGTGGCCTGTGGGGGTGTGGGGGAAAGAAAAGAAAAGGAAAAAGTGGAGGGAAAAGGGAAAAAGGGGGGGAAAGATCGTTACGAAAGGAAAGTCGGGTCTTTGGGAGCGGTCGCGTCTGATTTGATTTCTTCTTTCTCCGGTTTCTTGATGGCCGTCACGTCGTGGTTAGGGTGAGGGCGGGCGCATCGGGAGAATTTGATATCATTTTAGCGTACGATGGCAGCAAGCGGTGGTGGCCATTGGATTGGATGAACGGAAGTGCTGTGGGAGTGAGGATAGATCTTATCTGACTCCACGTAGATACACCGATGGTCAATCGGGCCACATATACGAGGAATTTACATGTGTCTAGCTCAGCTGATAGCTCAGCTCTACTTTGCAGTAACCAAGTTGCCAAACTAGACGAAGTCCCTGTTGGGTTGATATGAAAACAAAGCAGCTGGAAGTGGAAGTGAAGCTGGGAATCCTTCTCAGCAGACACGGATTGAAGTGGAGCCAAACCAGGAGAGTTTGGATTTGAGTCTTGAGTCAATAAACAAAATAGTGTCGTTTGGATGTTTTATTGTTTAGTCCTTGAGTCAGTGGTTTGTGTCAGCTAGGTCCTGAAGGTTAGATAAGTTCTGTTGAGAAGTTTCAGGGTAGTTGAGTTGTTGGTGGTGATTTACAGGACTTGAAGAGTCGTAGGTTAAGTAGTGGAGGCCGTAGTTTATGGCCAAAGCAAGTCTTTATATTGTAAATGTTCTGCATTCTAATAAGATTTGTCAGATTGCAACATTTTGAGCTTTCATAGTGGTATCAGAGCCTCAAAAGCAAGCTGTAACCAGTATTGAAAGCAAAAGCATAGAGAGTTGTTGAGTGAAATCGGTTGTTATTTCTGGGTATTAGGGAAACACGAGGGCTGTTTGTGAGGTAATCTTCTGCTAAGGGTGAGTGACTACTCTCTTTGTGATTGAGAGCTAGTGAGATCTGTGATTGCAGAGATATCATGGGAGAAAACAGCAGTTTTGCACAGGTGTGCCTCCCCAAATTTGATGGGGATTATGAGCATTGGACACTATTGATGGAGAATTTACTCAGGTCTAAGGAATACTGGCATGTGGTCAATGAAGGTTTTAAGGAGCCTGCAGCTGGAGAAGAACTTTCTCCTGTTCAGCAGAAGAACTTGGAGGAGATGAGGCTGAAAGATCTCAAGGCCAAGAACTATTTATATAGTTCTATTGACCGAACCATCTTAAAGACCATCACTAACAAGGCTACTGCTAAGGACCTCTGGGATTCCATGCGTGTGAAGTACCAAGGAGGAGCTCGGGTGCAGAAGGCTCAACTGCAAGTTCTGAGAAGAAACTTTGAGCTGCTTGAAATGAAAGTTGGTGAGTCCATTGCTGACTATTTCTCTAGGGCAATGATCATAGCTAACAGTATGAGAAATTGTGGAGAACCTATCACTGATGGCAAAATTGTTGAGAAGATTTTGAGAACTCTTACTGCACAGTTCAATTATGTGGTCTGCTCTATAGAGGAATCCAAAGACATTGACAAACTCACCGTTGATGATCTTCAAAGTTCACTCTTAGTTCATGAACAGAAGTTTCATAAGCATGATAAGCAGTTTGCTGGTGAGGGAGAGCAGGCTCTTAGGATCTCATATGTTTTTGGAGGAAGGGGAGGAAGAGGTCCAGGGAGAGGTACCTATCAAGGTCGAGGTAGAGGAAGAACAGGCAGGGGCTGGAATAGAGATGTAGTGGAGTGCTTTAAGTGCAATAAGCTGGGTCATTATAGAAATGAGTGTCCTGAGTGGTACTCAAATCACCCATACTCAAACCAGCAGGCACATTTTACTAGTTCTGGTCCTGTTCAAGACAAATCCTCTGGTGATTTTACGGACGACATGTTGTTAATGGCATGTGTTGAGTTCAAAACCTCAGTTGAGGTGGAGAAGGATACACAAAGCCTGATGGTATCTACAGATCACTGCAAGCAGAACAAGGGTGAGGATTTCTGGTTTCTTGATTCTGGTTGCAGTAACCACATGAGTGGTGATAAGAAGTGGTTTACAACCATTGATGCAAGTTTTGCATGTACTGTGAGATTGGGAAATGATTCCAGACTTGAGGTTGCAGGAAAGGGTGATGTAAGGTTGCTGATTAATCAAAAGAGTATTCTGGTCCAAGGTGTTTTCTTTGTGCCTGGACTCAAGACCAATCTATTAAGCATGGGTCAGTGGCAAGAAAAGGGTTTAGCCTTCTTGATCAAAGATGGAAATTGCAAAATTTTTCATAATGAAGTAGGGCTGCTACTTCAAACTGAGATGAAATCTAATCGTATGTTTGCTATTCATGCTGAAAGCAAAGCTGAAGATCATCACATACACTGTCTGCAAACTGATGCTACACAAAATCAGTCTCTTCAATTGTGGCATCGTCGATTTGGGCATCTAAGCATTCATAGTTTGGAGCTGCTTAGCAAGAAGGAACATGTGCTGGATCTTCCTAAGCTGCAAGGGACTGTTGGAGTATGTGGAACCTGTCAAATTGGCAAACAACCCAGAAAGCCATTTCCTAAGAAAAGCCAGTGGAGAGCAACTCAAAAGCTTCAGCTAGTGCATGCTGACTTATGTGGACCAATTACCCCAGCATCAAATGGAGGCAAGAGGTACATTTTTACTCTTATTGATGATTTCAGTAGGAAAATGTGGGTTCACTTCATGACTGCAAAATCAGAAACTCTTGATTGCTTTAAGAAATTAAAGCAAGAGTTGAGAAGGATACTGATCTGGAAATTAAGTGTCTCAGAACTGATCGCGGGGGTGAGTTTATGTTAAGTGAACTCAAGGATTTGTCTGATGAAATTGGACTCAGACGGCAACTCACTGCTGCTTTTACACCCCCAACAGAATGGGGTTGCTGAAAGAAGGAATAGAACAGTTATGAATATGGTCAGGTGCATGATGGAAGACATGAAGGTTCCTTCTGCGTTTTGGCCGGAGGCTGTTGATTGGACTGTTCATGTACTTAACAGAAGTCCAACCACAGCAAATTTGGGAAGAACACCTCAGGAACTTTGGACTGATAGCAAACCCTCAGTATCTCATTTCAAAGTGTTTGGATGTGTTGCTTATGTGCATATACCTGACCAGCAACGAAAGAAACTAGATGACAAAAGTGAGAAATGTCAGTTTCTAGGCATCTCAGTGGAGTCCAAGGCTTATAAGCTCTACAATACTGTCACTAGAAAGATGGTTGTCAGCAGGGATGTGGTGTTTGATGAATCTAAGGGTTGGAGCTGGGATTCTGCAGCAGAACCAGAGCTGCCTCAACTGACTTGGGCAGGAAGTGATGAAGAATGGTGGGATTCTGACTCTGAAGGTGGCTTTGAGAATCCGGCAGACTCAGTTCCTGAGGCAGATGCAGGACAACCTCCAAGTCCAAGAACTCCTGCAGGTTTTGGACCTTCCCAAGAACATGAAGAATCTGATGAAGAGCCACAAACAGATGTACTGGGGCTTCCTAGTGCTGGTCTAAGCAGAAGGGTTAGTAAACCACCAAAACATCTACAAGATTATGACTGCAGTTTTATCTCAACAGATTGGATGATCATGGTAGCTTTCTCTGATGATCCACAATCATTTGAAGAAGCCTGCTTGGACCCTCAGTGGAATGAGGCTATGCAAGTTGAAATGGACTTAATAAAAAAGAACCAGACTTGGACTCTTACTGATCTTCGTGAAGGGTGTGAAGCTATTGGGTTAAAGTGGGTTTATAAAACCAAACTTAAGGAAGATGGAGAATTGGATAAGAAGAAAGCAAGGGTGGTAGTCAAAGGGTATGCACAGAAGCTAGGAATTGACTACAATGAAGTTTTCGCACCTATGGCTCGATGGGACACAATCAGAACTATGTTAGCTCTTGCTGCAAACTATGGTCTCACAGTATATCAGATGGATGTCAAGAGTGCATTCCTTCATGGGGAGCTTTCTGAAGAGATATATGTAGAGCAACCACAAGGATTTGTGGTTGCTGGGGAGGAAAAGAAGGTTTATAGGCTTCATAAAGCTCTGTATGGGCTCAAGCAAGCCACAAGGGCTTGGTACAGTAGGATTGAAACCTACTTCCTTGCTGCTGGGTTTGAAAAATGTCAGTACGAACCTACCTTGTTCATAAAGAGAAGCAATCCTGGTATTCTTATTGTCAGCTTGTATGTCGACGACTTGATGTATGCTAGCAACAATGAAGAATTGCTAGCAGAGTTTAAGCAGTCTATGCAAGCAGAATTTGAGATGAGCGACTTGGGAAGAATGAGGTACTTCCTGGGAGTTGAAGTGGTTCAAAGTGCTGCTGGAATTTTCATCTACCAACCAAAGTACATAAGGGAAGTTCTGGAAAAATTCAAGCTATCACAATGCAACTTTGTTCACAGTCCAATCACACCTGGAGTCAAGATAGCAAAAGCTGGAGATGGGATTCATGTGGATCCTACAGAATACAAAAGGCTGATTGGGAGCCTGCTATATGCAACTGCAACACGACCTGATATCATGTTTTCGGTTTGCTTGCTTAGCAGGTACATGGATTCACCAACGAGACAACATCTATTAGCAGCAAAAAGGGTTCTGAGGTACCTCAAGGGAACAATAAAGCATGGAATCTGGTACAAAAGAAATCAAGGGGAGGAAGTGAAGCTGCTTGGATACACTGATAGCGACTATGCTGGTGACTCTGATGACAGGAAAAGCACATCTGGTTATGTGTTCTTCCTTGCTGGAGCAGCCATCTCATGGGCCTCGAAGAAGCAACCAATAGTCACTCTATCTACTACTGAGGCTGAATTCGTTGCAGCAGCCTACAGTGCATCACAATGCATCTGGCTTCAAAGGATTCTGGAAGAAATGGGATGGAGCAGTAGTGTGGCAGCTGGAACTAAGATACTATGTGACAACAGTTCTGCAATCAAATTGGCCAAGAATCCGGTGATGCATGGACGGAGCAAACACATCGATGTTCGCTTCCATTTTTTACGAAATCTAGTGAAGGAGGGAGTTATTGATTTGGATTTCTGCAGGACTGGTGAGCAGGTGGCAGATGTGATGACAAAGCCTTTGAAGTTGGAGTCATTTCAGCTGCTGCGAAGTCAACTTGGAGTGATCGATGCTGAGGATGTTGGAACTAAAGAAGTGAACTGAATGCCTGGGACCCGGCTTCAGTTCAGGGGAGGACTTGTTGGGTTGATATGAAAACAAAGCAGCTGGAAGTGGAAGTGAAGCTGGGAATCCTTCTCAGTAGACACGGATTGAAGTGGAGCCAAACCAGGAGAGTTTAGATTTGAGTCTTGAGTCAATAAACAAAATAGTGTCGTTTGGATGTTTTATTGTTTAGTCCTTGAGTCAGTGGTTTGTGTCAGCTAGGTCCTGAAGGTTAGATAAGTTCTGTTGAGAAGTTTCAGGGTAGTTGAGTTGTTGGTGGTGATTTACAGGACTTGAAGAGTCGTAGGTTGAGTAGTGGAGGCCGTAGTTTATGGCCAAAGCAAGTCTTTATATTGTAAATGTTCAGCATTCTAATAAGATTTGTCAGATTGCAACATTTTGAGCTTTCAGTCCCTGGATTGTTCCCAGCAACTCTGCTCTAGTAATGGTGCAGGCTCCTATGTAGGAGGCGAACGCGCCAAGGCATTTTCTCGAGCTGTCCCGAACAAGACCTCCTGCAGTTGCCAGCGAATCCGGGTGTTTTACAGAACCATCAGTATTGACCACGGCCTACTCTTGGGGAGGGGGATTCCACACAATCTCAGTCGTTGTCCTTGTCCGTTGTGTAGTATGGATGGCCCTTTTATTGTCCTGCGCTTCACGAATAGTGCTAGTCCAGCTTTGGATTCTTTGGATTCTTTGGACAAGGGTGGATGTGTCTTGTTGCTTATGGTCAAATATCCATTCATTTCTTCTCCTCCAAAGTTACCACGCTGCAACTCCAAACAGCACCTTGGTCTGCGTATTTTTGAGTTGCTTTGCCATCCAATCTGTCAAGTTGAGGCCAATAGTTCGGCTGATATCCGATATTCCAAGTGCTTGCGATACCTGAGTAGCCGAAGCACAGTGATGCAGAATATGCTCGGTGGTTTCGGGCACCGCTTTGCATAGCTCGCAAGTATCTTGTAGACAGAGTTTTCTCCTTTTTCGCTTGCAGTTCGTCATCAGACGGTCATGGAAGGCTAGCCAAAGGAAATGTCGTATTCGGTTTGGACCATCCCACTTCCAGATCGCCTTCCAATTTGGTGCTGCTATGGCAGATACCAAATTCTCATCTCCCTTCCAAAACCAATTATCTGCAACAACGGTGTATGCTGATCCAAGATGAAATCTCCCATTCGGTTCCATTCCCCTTGTCGTCCGATCTTCTCCCGATTCTTGGCTCAGCGAGTCTAAACCTGCAATTAGTAGATTAATAGAGTCAGGGAGGTGAGCTTGAAATTGTGACCGGTTCCACTCACCTGGGCCGAGAGCCATGTCAGCAACTGAGGCGTTCCAGTCGACATCACTGCCTTGATCCTCCACATAATCTCAAAGAATTACTCCTTCGGAAACCCCAGAGTTTTGCCAAAAGTTGACACTTACCCCATTTCTAATGTCCCACACCGTTCCTTGTTTAACAAGAGGAAGAGCTTCCAAGATCCCTTTCCAAAGCCTTGAGACTCGCTGCTGCCGCATCGACACGTTGCCATTATCATTCATCTTGACATACTTGTCCTGCATAACTCAGACTCAAAGAGGCTTTTCATCATTAAGAAAGATCCAGTCTAGTTTCATCAAATAGGCCAGGTTAAGAGCGTGAGCCGAACGAAGTCCCAAGCCCCCCTCATCTTTCGGTTTACAGATATTTTTCCATGATACGAGATGTGCTTTGGCATGGCCTTTCTCAGCTCCCCAAACAAACTGTCAGATCTTTTTATCGATCACATCACAGATATGGCATGGGAGAACAGTCGTTTGCATCACATAGTTCAGGAGAGCGTTCAAAATCGACAAGGCAAGAGTGACACGACCTTTTAAAGAGAGGCTTCGTGTCTTCCAGCCCGACATGCGCTTGTCCAGCTTCTCCAAGATATATTTGTAAGTGTCCTTCGTGACGCGACCATGGATGACTGGAACATCGAGATATCTACCCAGGTTATCAGTTTGCTTCATTCCTAGCAGTCTATTGATCCTTCTCTTTTTCTGCTCCTTGGTATTCTTCGAGAAAAATATGCAAGACTTTTCTTTGCTCACTTCTTCCCCAGAGGCTGCATAGAATTTATCAAGGTAGTTGCGGATTGCCTTCCTCTGCTTCGTATCAGCTTCAGCAAAGAGCACTAAATCGTCTGCAAAGAAGAGATGCATTAGTGCAGGACCATTCTTAGACAAATGTAGAGGAACCCAAAGTCCATTACCAACAGACTCTTTAATACAGTGATTCAAACATTCAATGCATAAAGTGAAAAGATAGGGAGAGAGGGGACATCCCTGTCTAAGGCCTCGTGACGGCTTGAACGAATCCGTGCAGTTACCATTCTATAGGAAATGGAAGCTAGAGGTTGTTACATACGCCATGATCAAGTTGATGAAGTCCATCAGGGGACCTGCTGCCACCAGGATAGAACGCAAGAACTCCCAATTGATTCTATCTTATGCTTTGGCTAAATCGATCTTCAGAACCATGATGCCACGAGCCCCCCTTCAGGTGACCAAGCGAGTGTATCAATTCCTGAAGGATTATGATGTTGTCCGTGATGTGTCTATTGGGGACGAAGCTAGTCTAATTTTCATCGATTAACCTTGGCATAATATTTCTCAGACGATCTGCCAGGCACTTAACCATCACCTTGTAACTAACGTTACAGAGGCCAATTGGCCGAACTTGACCCATAGACTTTGGAAAATCAACCTTGGGCAGGAGGAAAGGAGAGTCATGTTGCAGCTGGCGATGCAATAAGGCTCCTTGAAACGCTGGACCAGATGATGGAGAAAGACCTTGCCTATAGAAGCCCAACATTTTTTATAAAACACCACATGGAATCCATCTTTGTCGGGGGCCTTGAGACCACCCATCTCCTTGATGATTCTGTAAGTTTCTTCCTCCGTGTGGATTGCTGCCATACTGCGAGTTAAGCTCTCCTCAATTACTGGAAACAAGGCAATAAGGAGAGGTCTTGTGCCCACATCCTCATTAAAGAGATTAATATAAAAGTCCATTGCCATGTCTTCCAACAGTTGGGGATCTTCCACCCAAGTCCCATAAGTGGCTTGCAACTTTGAAACTTTGTTCCTACGGCATCTGGTCAAGGGTGCAGTGTGGAAGAACGTAGTGTTCTTGCCCCCAAAGTTAATCTAGCCAGCCCTTGCTTTTTGCATCTAGAGAAGTTCCTCCTGCCACAAATTTTGCTCCAATTCTTCATGAAAGAGAACTTCCTGTTGGAGGCCGGACGATTAGAGGCCGAGTCATTCCTTGCTTTAGTGATATCAAGACGTTTGGTGAGGGCCTCCTTCCTCTTGAAAATATTTCCAAAGACTTCTCTATTCCATACTGATAGAGTACGTTGGAGATCATTGATTGAGTCGAGGAATTCAGCTCCATGTTTCCAGGAATTCTCTAACGTGGGTTGGAAGTCCTTGTGGGTGAGTCACGGAGCCAGGAATCAAAAGGGTCTCTTCTGTCTTTTGTTAGTTTGATCATCGGAGGAGCATATCAGAAGAGGCCTATGGTCTGAATGGAGCCGAGGCAGATGATTGTTGATGGTATCCGGGAAGCACTAAGCCAATGTGCATTACATAGCGCCCGATCCAGTCTTAAGTAGAGGTTTCCCCCGACCAAGTGAATCTTGGCCCCCTAAATTCAACATCTAACAACCTGCAGTCATCAATAAACTGGTTGAAATTTTCTATTTTTTCTGGGTTATAGGCCTCCCCTCCTAATCTCTCTTATGGGCATCTGATAGAGTTGAAATCGCCAGCTAATAACCAAGGCTATGATATGCTTTGCTCTAGTCTCCGAAGGTTGTCCCACAACGGCAGTCGATCATGATTGTTGGGTTTGACGTAGATTGTCGTAAGAAGAACAACTTGGTTATTTTTCACATTGAGACAATGAAAGTGGAGCATCTGAGGATTGTGATCCAAGACAGAAATGCAGAAGACAGAGGAATTCCACAGCACCCAGATGCCCTCCGAAAATCCTACAACACCTACCACTTCAAGTTTGTCAAAACCCATTTTACTAATAACTTCCAGCGCGTCCTTGCAACTAATATGCGGCTCCACGATGAAAATTAGATTAGGGCGATGGGTGCGCATATAGTCTTTGAAAATCACAAGAAATTTGGGGTTATTAGCCCCACAACAATTCCAAGTAAAGAGCTTAATCATTAAAAGGGGAAAAGGGGAGAGGAAATGCGCCCAAACGCTAGAGATTAGTGGTCGACTGATGCCCAGGTGCATCGATGGCCGGCGGTGGGCCACTAGCTGGTTCAAGGTTGTCTGCCATCGTCGTATCGTTTACTTTTTCGACGTCCGGTTGCCGGTCTTCTTCTGGGTTCTGCTTCGAGTTGGTCATGAATTTTGCGATGGTTTGGGGATTGATGGGAAAGCTGGGCGTCTTGGAAAGCTCTTGCATCAGCTTTTCGTCGTGTGCACAGCCTGAGTGGTAGGGTTCTTAGACAAGTCCTTCATGATTTTCTTCTGCGAGCGATGACGAATTGAGGTTGTTGGCCGGTTGGGATTGGAATTTTCTTTCATGTCTGGCTGGGGAAGAAGGCCATACGAAGCAGTTGAATTTCCAGGGACTGGTCCCATTCGCCCCGCAGCAGCAGGTTGTTCAGTCGATGTGCTCGTTGGGCTCGGCCCAGTCGGTTTTCCTACGTTGAGATCCCTAGAATGGGCTTGTGACATTTCTGTGTTCTCCTTCGAACCAATGGGCCGCCATTCCTAGGTTGCCGTTACCGTCTTCTCGGTCAAAGATCCGTTGCCATTCCCCATCACTTTCCCTTTCGAGCTCGAGGTATTTCCTTTTCTATCTTCAGCCTTTGACATCGCCTTTTCTTTCCCATCTTTTCCATACTAGCCCGGTTCTGATCACCCTTTCCTTGTTGATTCGATCTCTGATTAATTTTCCCTAGAATATCGCCGCGACTCGATTCTGAGCCCTAATTGGAGACCGGATTTTGTGCTACCTTCCTAATTTGTTTTCTTCTCTTCCTTGTCACTTGCATCCATGGGCCGTATCGGGCAGACGGTTCCGGGGGCGGCCCCCCCTTCACTAAGGTGAACGGAACCCGTTGTAGTCGAGATGGCAGTAGCAGTAGTACCCACTCTTTTAGGACATAGCTCCTCAGTGTGGCCTATCCTGTCTCATTCAAAACAGATCTCCGGTAATTTCTCATAGAGGACCGGTTCCCAGAATCCATCAAGTCGGACGTGTGTAGCCAATGGTTTCGTCATGTCCAGTTCCACCGCTAATCGAGCGAACTTCCCTTGTTCAAGATTTTCTGTGTGTTAGTCGAGCTTCACTGTTCTGCCAATTAGGTTCCCAAAGCAAAAAGGTGTTACACCCCATCTTTTTCTAAGCCAAAATAACCATTATGCCAGTAGTCCAAATTTGTCAAATTCCACCGTAATATCAATGATGACTAAAAATGTGAACTATCGGTTCAAGCAGTGTCGAATTTTGATATAAAATGAGGAAGTTACGGACGTTAATTGAGTTTCGGATTAAACTCACCCATAATTGTGAAATTCCCAAAATACTTTTTGACTAATTAAACCCTGAACCCCTTACTTTACCCTACTCGGCCTCACCCTAAAAAGTAATAACACCAACACCCCCCCCCCCCCCCCCCCCCCCCACAGCCTTCTTATTTCCCCACCCGAATAAGAGCTCTCGGTAAAGAAAAGGAAGAGAGGAGCGGACACTCTTCCCCCCAGCAAAGCAAGCGACATCCGCTGCTTTTCCCTCCCAGCGTGTCGTCGTCCCCAACTCCATTACCGTCACGTTCAATAGTATGCCTGGCGGTGATTAAATCATGAGGTTGGTGACCCTAAATAATCGTTTTGCATGCATGGGTAGTTCTCAAGGGCAGAAAAACGAATTGAATTGCTTAGAATTAGTGATTGAAGTGGGTTAAATATATTCAAGGAATTATTTGATGAGGCTTTAATCATAGGCCATTGACTCACTCCTACTGTCACTCTAGAAATTGGCCAAGTGTAACCACTTCCTAAAGCGTAGTATAGCGGGTTTGGGTTTTAATGTCAACTCGGGTCCTAGATGTGATGACTACTCAGTGAATTCTTATTATCTAGCGGTAAAACTTAAGTGCAGGTTCAAACAAACAAAAACACAAAGCAAGTTAACCGGTTGTTTCAAGTCGAGAGAGGTCACCCGGATATGGTTCCCCCTAGACTGCAGTTAAGCCGGATTGCAATTACCAAGTTCAGTTTCTATGAAAGTTATACTGCGGAAGGTTCTTAAACAGTCTGAAGTCTCGACTAAAGGTCTCCAGACCCTCTCAATCTGAGTCCCCAGCGGGCGACTAACCTTCACCAGAGTAAACAGATTGAGGCCCTAACGAACCAAACCTCCACTACCGAAGCAAATTCGGTACAGAATAGTGAATTGGCTCCTCAACTAAAGTCGCCAATTCACTACCTTTAATTAAGGGAGCTCTATTAACCTAGGCAGATATTCTCATTCTAGGCTAAAGCAGAAATAACAGGAATTTGATCAGGATTCAAGTCATTCAATCATTCAAGCCTCAATTGAATATAATCAAATCATAAAACCTGTACTTGGGTTCATACAATCAGACCTAACATACAAATCTAGGGTTCTCCATACCCAGATGAATGGGAGAACTACTCCATGGAGAAAGAAGCAAAAGCAGATTCAGATGCGGAAACCATACTGTGAAGGATGGATTTCTGCTCCTGGTTGTCGATCGGCACTTTTCCAAGCTCAAGCCGGGCTCCAATGGTGATGAAGATCAAGCTATGGCACTTGGGAACTCTTGTTCGTCGCTTTCTCTCTCTAGGAATCGCTCTGTTTCTCTAAAACTCGGAACCCTTGATTTTCAGCCTTCTTTTCCTTTAAAAACTTGACTGTCGCGATACCCGGTCGAAATACCCGGTCAGGTATTTTGGGTCTCGACTGGGTATAATTGAAACGCGCGTTTAAGAGAAGAGAAAAATCCCCGGTCTTCTCTAAGAATCCCCGACCGGGGATTTATGCTTCACGACCGGGACCCCTTCTGTTTCTCAGACGCCCAAAACGATAAATACCCGGTCGGGTATTGGAGCCCATGACCGGGTATTTTCCTCCTGCAGCACACTTCGACCCAACTTCGCTCCTTTCGACCCAAAACTCGTTTCCTCGCCTCGATTCCAACGCTGGGCCCTGAAATATGACATAAACGCACAACCTCGCGTGAAATCGGCTTAAAACACGAGAATCAACCTCTCAAACGGCTCAAGAATAGGGGTAAAATCAGGTGTAATTATTGGTCTATCAGCCATCCCATTAGCTTTTGTTAGCAACGTTTAGCCATGGAAATGCACGGATGGACGGTAGCTAATATTGCTCTTGCTTTTGGGTTGCTGGTCACATATCTTGAGGGAATTATTAGGGAATAATTCCAAAATTCCCAATCTCCCGCACTCACAACAGGAAGAAGGAAGATGAAGCTCGACGTCGTGTCTGGTGCTAAGTGAACGATGACGTGCAGAGAGAACAACAGCGTTCCAAGGCTCAATGACTAATTCATGCACTTTTACAATTTAACACTCAATGTTCTATTTTCGTACATTTTTTCCTTTTATGGTTTGTACTTGTTTAAGAAGCAACATTGTCTTCTTCTATAAACTTATGATCAAGCTATATAAGCTGATCCCACAATGGAATGAGACAAGTTTTCAGTTTCTCACAATTCACAAAGCGTCAATATGGTATCAGAGCCTCCAAACTGGAAACCCTAGTTGTCATCCTCTTCATCTTCCTTCATGGTTGAAGCAGCATCATCAGTTCCTCCTGCTAACCCAGATCCTATGGCAGACCCCTTCTACCTCCATGGATCTAAAAAACCCGGCCTTGTTCTCGTTGCAGAGAAGCTCACCACTACCAATTACAATTATTGGAGTAAGGAAATGCACAATGCCCTGGGAGCCAAAAACAAACTAGGCTTCAAAGATGGCACCCTTGCCGAACCAGCAACTGACCACGCAACAGCTCGAGCTTGGAAACGAAACAACATCAAGGTGCTCTCTTGGATCCAGCAAGAAGTCGACCCTGGCGGTAGGAAGACCATCATGTCAATCAAAATGGCGACAAAGGCATGGAGAAGCCTCAGGGCTCGCTATGGTCAAGGTGACATGATTCGTGTTGCTGAGATCATTGAAGCACTGCTACTCTCAAACAAGGTAAGCAGATTGTTACTAACTACTATGGGGAACTCATAGCCCTTAGAGATGAACTAGACAGCTATCAACCCTTAGATACTTGCACTTGCACACCTACCAGTCACAACCAATGTAGGGTTATGCAACAGGTTTTCCTTTATCGAGACATCAACTATGTCATACAGTTTCTTAGGGGTCTCAATGACAACTATGCCAGTGTGAGATCTCAAGTAATTTTTGGAGAAACACTACCCTCCATTGACAGAATCTTTCAAAGAATGCTCCAACACGAGCGCCAACAATATGGCACTCATCAGGGCAAGATACTTGTTGAACCAAGCATCATAATTGCCTCTCCAAGCACCATTCTAGCCAACAAAAATGCTCGTCCTTACTGCACCTTCTGCAAATCTCAAGGTCATGTAGAAGATGTCTGCTTCCACAAACATGGCTGGCCACCAGGGATGCCTTCTAGAACAAACAATCCATCTGCTCGATCTATTGAATGCTCCTATTGCAAAAAAAACTAGGACATTCAGAGGATAAATGCTATTCTAAGCATGGATATCCACCCCCTTCCACTGGTGCTAGCCAAGGCAATCCAAAAGGAAGACCTTATGCTAATGCAGCTCCAGTGCTTGACTCCAATCCAACCTCAGAAGAGTTCAAGCTGACCAAAGCAAACTATGATCGTCTACTAGCCCTCATGAACACAAAATCTAAGCAATCAAGTGGATCCATCTTCTCAGCTGCAACATTCATTGATCCTCCTGCAGAATGCTCAGGTAAATACTCTTTCAGCACTCCTGCCAAACGACCTTATAGTCAAGCTTGGATTCTAAATACAGGGGCTTCAGACCACATTGTGTGCTCTCTTAGCCACCTACACAATCCTAGCCCAATCCACAATGTCTACATCACTTTACCTACTGGTCACCAAGTTCAGGCAACCCACACAGGGACTGTCAAACGTTTTCTAGACATGATACTTGAGGGAGTACTATTTGTTCCTCAGTTCAGCTTCAACCTAGTGCCAGTCAGCAAACTGACCAAGAACAAGTCCCTATGTTTGACATTCTATTCTGATGTATGCTTGATTCAGGACATGCAGCTGAGGAGGATAGCTGATTCTGCTAAGCTGTTTCATGGCCTTTACCTCCTAGACCACACCCCCATAGACACACAACCAACACACATCACAGCTGCTAGTACACAAGCTTTTGACCT